GAAGTTACATTTAAATATGAGGAAAAACTTCCTTAATGGTGAGGGTGACAGAACACTGTAACAGGCTGCCCAGGGAGGTGGTGGAGTCCCTTTCTCTGGAGATATTCAAGACCCACCTGGATGCAGTCCTGAGTAATGTGCTCTAGGAAATCCTGCTTTAGCAGGGGAGTTGGACTAGATGATCTCTATAGGTTCCTTCCAACTCTTGACAGTTCTGTGATTCTGTGAGTACTGGAGAATCCTACACTAAAGGGCTGTGCTGGTTTTAAGAAACAGCCCGACTGACTCCCACTGAAGGAAACCAATTTTCTGGATGCACAAGAAATACATATACCTTTGTTTTGAAGTGCTCCTTCTCAAGATATTTCTGTATTAACAAAATCTGAAGAATAGCACAAGATCTCATAAGTAAATCGGCTGTATCAGTCCTGCAATAGCTGCCTTCCTGTCTTCTCCAGTTAACCTGAATATATGATGTCTGTTTTTTCCAGCATGAGTTCCACTCAGAACTTGGTGCTCCTGAGGCAAGGGGCCACATTAATGTCATAGTCTCTAAGCCTCCTACAGTAATAAGGCCTAAAAATTGTGAGGAAAAAAGGTGGCTACCTTGTCTTTTAAAGACTTAGGTCTAACCACTATATTTGTTGATTTTTTTTTTTTTAATACAGAGAATTTGAAATAAAAACATATTTGAGCATCAAAGCAGAATTTGTTAATCTAAGCCTGTCAGGTGCCAAATGCTCTACAGGCATCTAAAATAGATGGACCCTGCCTTACCTAAAGGATAATGGCTGAGTTAGAGAATTATAGCCAGACATTCCGTTATTTCCACTGATGACAGTGAACCTCCTCTACAAGCCTCACTGACCACCTCTTGCTCTTCAAGTTTAAGCCAGAAAGAAACCTGACTACAAGATTTCACCCTGCTAGTATGAATATAACTTAATAATCAGTATAGGGTTAAAGTTTATATTTCAAAAAGAAACACTTTCCCGATTTGTAAACATAAAAAAATCAAAATTTCCACTCACCTTAGTTGCCTACTCCTAAGGTTACTTGCTCTTTCAGCTAAAAATCTGTGCCTTTTCCTCTAATTTGTCTGACTTCATCTTCCAAAAATCCGTTCATATTACGCCTTTCTCCATTAGTTGACAGAGCTTGTAAGTACCAGGTGTTTTCTCCACATGAAAGCACTTACTGTAATCACCTTACTGTTATAAAAGCAGGACTGGATTTCAGTTTGATTTCAGAATAATACATGCTGGATTAAAAAAACCTTGTAGTTTGGTCAGCAGTGCAGCTAATGAAGTTTGTTTTTTGTGGATCTGAATCTCAGTAAGATTCTCTGGTGTCTCAAGAGCATGACATTAGTCAAAGGTTTTCCCAGTGGTAAGCCCTTTTTTTTTTTTTTCTTTTTTTTTTCCTTCTCCTTCATCATCATAATCATTATCATCATCCATGTGGATTCTCTGGTCTAATAAGATACTTCAGCACTTTTGGATGTTTCTTCTCTCTCTACTCAGTTATTTTCTTGTAACTTGTAGGAGGGGAAGAGATACAGAGACTGATAGGAATATATAGGTGATATGATCAGTAAAGTTCCATTTCCATAATCACACAAAAAATTCAGCTTTATGCAAAGCAAACACTGTTTTTTAAACCCTTACAAATAAAAGTATCAGTCCAGCTGGTTGCATTTGAACTGTCTAGTTTTTTTAAGTTTTTTTGGTATTGTCATTGGGAAATCCACACAGCAGTATACCCACTAAGGCAACAGGTGTTACAGTTGCTCCAAAATTCAGATCATTTCTGTTGGAACTCAAGAGGCCAGTTTCTTGTAATTTGAGCTTAGGGACACTGGGGAGTTCTGTACCATATAGTAGCAGAATACTTGTCTTCTGCCAAAAATTTCTGGCTCCCCATCTCCTGCTCCAACCACATGGCCTTTTTTCCTTAACAGTCAATTACATAAGATATAAATTCTATTTTTGGCACAGGAATTTATGAATCTTCTCAAAGCAAAGGATTGTTATGAGGTTTCTACATGGAGCTACAGTATATACTTGTACTGTCAAGAGCCCCAACAGTGACAGGTGCCACCTGCTACAACTGTTTCTGGGTCTTGCTTAATGGAAAATACTGCCTCTAACCCATCTATCTAATGCACTTTTAACCTTTAACATTACAAAATCTGAACGTGTATTATGAGCAGTGCCCAGTTAAGAAAAGACATTGTAATTTGAGATCAGTATGGTATGCAAACTGATTCCTTTGGTATCTGCTACAAAGAAACCCAACAACCAACCAACCTACCTAAAGAAAGTATTCTACTTGTATCAGATAACTAATGTATTCTCCATTTGCTACTAAAAAAGCAAAAAGTAGTGCTGACAAGGACTAACCTCTTGCCTCTGTCTAAACAGAATAGGAAGAGGGGTGGCACCGTGCCTTTGCTGGCAGCTGGTTTTATAAATTTGGTCAGTGAGTACATGCTTCAGCCAAAGGAAGTGTGGTGTGAATGACACTGGAGAGGACTTGGCTGTCCTCCAAGCTTAAGAGTCGAGTTGTCAAGACTCTGCAGGAGCTGTTGTGTCATTAAAGAGTGCTGCAAAGTACACTGAAGCCTTTCATTTGAAGGCTCTGCCGCCTGCCTGTCTTTCCAGGCATGGCAGCTTGTAATGCTGGAGTTACTTGGCAGCAGCCACACGCTACCTTACTGCCTTCTGAGTGCAGAGAGGTGCTGGAGTCACAGTAAGCCTGAGCTCCAGGTGCAGTTCTCCCAGGTGGGAGACAATCTGTCTGACAATCACTATTAGTGATTTAACTTTAGTGCTTAATGTGATTTCTGTGCATTTTTCTCCTACAAGAGAAACAAGGCAGAGGAAAATCTATTTTCTCATGGCTATCATAAGTCTCTGGGCATAGGGGGTTAGAGAAATAACGACTGTCCTGGTAATGAAAATATCTGTGATAATAATGGTTCATGTAGATCTGGTGGCTGCTGTACTTGGAAATATTTCTTCCAATATATTTGAAGGGACTGCAAGTACAAATAAATTCACAGAAGAACATTTGAGACTGACTGTTCCACAATAAGAAACCCTACATTCGTCGCCTTACAAAAAAATAGAATTAGGCAGCTCAAGTCAGCAAAATAATTTCTTATTGGAACACTTAAAGCAATTTTTGTAAAATATTTTGAGTTACTACTTATAAACTTTGATCCAAAAGGTAAGTATCCAACTTCCCTTTAAAAAAAAAGGAGAAATTAAGGCATAGATCCTGAACTTGTCTGCTTTCCTAGGAATGGGTTAGTAAGGGATCCCAGAACAGCAATCACAGATAGTCATACTAAGAGTTCTTGCTAGACATGAGTTCAAATCTTCAGATTTAAGGAATTTAGGATTTAAGCTTACCCAGGAATTTAAATAAGTTCTATACATTTCAAAAAATCAGTCTTTTAATTAGTTTAAATAGTGTTCTTAAAGAACAATTAAAGCACTTTCTGTTCTTAAGGTAAATGACAACTATTTTGACAATTAGCTTTTATAAGAAGACATATTTAATAAACAGGGCTGTGAGTTTAAGTTCCAGAAACAGGCAAAATTATATAGTTTCAAAATATCCAGTCATGTGTTGTATTAAAATATTCCTTTAGAGAATATAAGGAATGGATAAAGCAAATCTGGAGTTAGCAGAATTCATATGCTCCCCAACTCTGAACGTGTCTTCTCCACGCTCCTCAGTCTCCTCCTCGTAACTCCCATGCTCTTAGCTTTTCGTTTTTTCAATGCTTCACGTAAAAACTTAACCTGCTGCTGAATGTATTTCATGTGGGTTTATGTTCTCCTCTTTTTAATGATGGGTTTATCCCGCCTCCAGGCCCGGGGATGACACGGGGGTGCCCAGGGGGGAGCAGGGACCGGCCCCGAGGCCCAGGCGGGTCTGGTCCTGCTGCGGCGGGGCGGGGGGGCGCTCGGTGACCGCTCTAGTCCAAGCGGGACCCCCGGGGGTGTCTCCGCTGATCACGGCGAAACCCTCTCCCCTCAGGGAACCGGAGCGGCACGAAAGCACT